AGTGACAGCAAGTTGGTCAGCAGGCAGGCGGACGATTGCATGGGATGCCAGCTGCTGAGAGCCCCGGGCTTTTATTGAGAGAGTACCACAAGGTTGAGCAGACACCTCTTGCTGTAAGTTACAAACTCAGTGTCTAAAGGGGCTGGGCCCTTTCTGCTCCCTAATGTCTTTACTCATCCTATGGTGCTCAACAGTTGCCTCCAGATGCTTGGGGGCCCCTTCCCTCCAAGCCCTACTGATGGCCTGGGACCGACTTTTATGCCCCTGGCCCCACTTCTGTCATCAAGTACAAGATCCAAGACTTCTAATGTCTTCTATTCTTTCAACTCCGAGCAAAATTCTGTTTCTTCAGAGACAATTAGAGGAGCCCACATCTGCCTAGGTCACTGGGGTAGAGGTTAAATACCTTTAATGTCTGGGGAGATGGTTTGGTGCCTAAAGCATTAGGGCAAGCATGAGGACCAGAATTCGAATTCCCAGCATCATTGTAAATGCCAGGTGGGCAGCCTATCTGTAACTCCGGTGCTCAGACGGTAGACGAGGGAACTCCAGGGCAAGCTAGGTAGCTAGACTAGAATGTGGTGAGCTCTGGATTCAACTGAGAGACCCTGTCCCCAATGACTAAGGGGGACAGGGATGGAGGAAGACTCCTAATGTCTGCCTCAGGCCTCCATATGTACCTGAACACACGTATAAATGTCCATACACAACACATACACGTTTTGTGGGGGAAGGGGGTTGAAACAGGGTTTCTCTGTGTAGCCCTGGCTACCCTGGAATTCACTCTGTAGACCAGGCTGGCCTCAAACTCAAGGCATCTGCCTGCCCCTGCCCCCCAAGTGCTGGGATTAAAGATGTGCACCACTACAACAGCAAAAGATATAATTCTTTTAAAGCGCTGTTGAGATTGTTAATCTTGTATTGATTAACTTTTCTGGAAGGCACTTTGATGTTTTTCTGTGAATGACTAAAGCTGTCAGGAATACCCACCATTCAGCTCCCTTCCCTTTTTCCAGTCTTGAGCAATGGACCCTTCAGAGAAACCTGCCCTCTAGCTGCCAAGCCCAGCCTAACCACACCTGCTGAAGGCATGACAGCTGCTCGCTTTTCCAGCCACAGCTAGAAATCTTTACTCCAGGTAAGACAGGCCTCGGGGAACTCTCACACACATCTAACCTGCAGTTGCCATGGTTAGGGTTAGGGTAGCCATGGGCAGCCTGTAGCCAAGGACAGCTACGACAGTGGTCCAACACAAAACTGTAGCCATTTAAGCATTATGAGATTTAGGGGGCCAAAGAGATGGCTCAGTGCTATGTTCTAACCTTGCAGAAAACCAGAGTTGGGTTCCCAGCACACACATCGGGCAGCTCACAGCCTCCCATAAACCAGGTCCAGGGGATCCGATGCCTTCTGGCCTTTCTGGATGCTTGCACTCATGTGTTCATATCCACACACAAACATGGACACACAGACAGACAGCTACACACAATTAAAAATAAATCCTTAAGAAACAAGAGACATATTTTGCAGGGCAGTGGTGGCTCATGCCTTTAATGCCAGTACTTGGGAGGCAGAGGCAGGCAGAGAGACAGACACACAGAGGGACAGAGATTTGTGTTTGTGTTTTGTTCTATAGATGACAATACTCATTTGTAATGTCAAAGGGTTGGACACACCTGCCATTTGACGCACTTCCACAGTTGCTCCAACGATCCACCTCTGGCTGCTCTGGACCGTGCAGAGGTCCAGAAGGGAGACACTCCCTTAGTGACTCAGGAAGGCTTGTGATTGACAGATGGGAGGGCTAAGCTTGGTCTAGATAAACCTGAAGTGGCAGTGCTGTGTTTCAATTTGCATGCCACACCCATGAAATACACTGGCTCCGGGCTCTGTCAATAAAAGGCTCTTCCTGAGGGGTCCTTTCTTCCTTTCTTCCTTTCTTTCTTTCTTTCTTTCTTTCTTTCTTTCTTTCTTTCTTTCTTTCTTTCTTCCTTCCTTCCTTCCTTCCTTTCTTTCTTTCTTTTTTTCTTTTCTTTTTTTTTTGCCTACTTGCACTCTCTATGTGGGATAGAGACTCTTGGCATCATGAATAGACCAAGATGAGCTGGTAATGAATGCAAAGACAGACAACAAAACAGTTGGGGGGGGGCACGTGATGTTTCAGAGCGACCCTGGGTATGGGAGGGAGAGGCAGGTGGATTTTCTGTGAGTTTGAGGCCAGCCTGGTCTACAGAGTGAGTTCCAAGACAACATCCAAGGCTACAGAGAAAGACCCTATCTTGATAAACAAAACAAAACAAAGGAGTAGTCGGGGAAGAACAATGAAGAGAAGTATAGAGAAGGCAGAAGTGTGTGAAAAGGCAGAGATGGAGTTCGGCCTACCTCAGGTAGTTGACATGCCTTTAAGGCCAAGCAAGGGTCTGACGCCTGAGGCTTGGGAGCCATAATGGCAGCTGGTGCGGATTACAACTGATTTCAGCAGCTTCTGTCACAAGCCAAGGCACTCACTAGCTGCTGAGCACTAGCCAGGCCGCTGACAATCAAAGCCCAGGGTCATAAGCCTCCTGCGTGAGCACCTGAAATTCTTAGGTTCTAGGTTGGGGAGCCACACGTCTCTAGTTCTCGGGACTTGGAATGCTAAGCCTTGGGTCATCCTGTCCACACCACAAGCTTTGGGCAGTAGCAGGCCCAGCACCACCATGCCAAGGGCAGCCCTTCTCATCTACTTGAGATTTCCATCCCAGCAGACAAAGGGACCCCTCGGCTTGGTGTGGCAGTTCTGTACATTCTCTGTGTAGCAAGCATCTGCCCAAAGAGCTTCGGTTTGGAATGAGATCCAAAGTAGATGTCCAATGGCTGTAAGAATGAAGAGCCGAGGCTGCCTGTGTCCTTGTCCCCTAGTGGGTAGAGAAGACCCACCTGCCAGCACCCACCATAAGAGTGTCATGTGCCATAACAGGTGGCAGTGGCGGCTGTGGAGGCGGCGGCACAGGCCTTTGATCTCAGCACTTGGGAGGCAGAGGCCAGCAGATCTCTGTGAGTTTAGAGGCTAGCCTGGTCTATAAAGCAAGTCCAGGACAGCCAAGGCCACACAGGGAAACCCTGTCTTGAAAAAAAGAAAAATCATTCTAACTATAGGTGCTTTTAGCTGGACATGATGGTGCATGCCTGTAATCCCAGCACTCAGGAGGCAGAGGCAGGCAGATCTTTGAGTTTGAGGGCAGCCTGGACTACAGTTCTAGGACAGCCAGGACTACACAGAGAAACCCTGTCTCAAACAACACAACACAAAACAAACTGGCATGGCACCCGGGAGTTCCTGGGTCAGCCTGCCTTGATATTAGAGCTGTCCTGACCGTTTTTGTCACTGAGGAGGGAAAGTCTCCTGACTAATGCACGTGGCACTCCTCCCTCCCTCCTGCACTGGCTGTGAGATTACAAGAATCTACACACAGCTCCTCATTCTAGTGTACCTTCTGACTTTGCTCTTGGTCCCTGCCTACCTTGTCCCCAGCTCAACCCAGCTCTGCCTTTGGCCGTTGACCTCGCCACCCCCCGCCCCCAGCTGCAAATCCTGAAGCAATGAATTTGCTTTCATTCCATTGGGTATCACTTACCCATCTTCTCCGTGTGTGTGTGTGTGTGTGTGTGTGTGTGTGTGTGTGTGTGTGTGTGTACAGGTGCACGTGTATGGAAGTCAGACTAGGTCAACTTCAGGTCTCATTCCTCAGACACCATCCACCTTGTTCTTGAGACAGAATTTCTCACTGGCCTGGGAGCTTGCCGTTTAGGCTGGGCTGTCTAGCCAGTGAGCCACAAATATCTGTCTGTCTCCACTGGGATTACAAGTGGGTGCCACCATGCCTGACTTTTTATGTGGGTTCTGGAGATCAGTGCTACACTGACTGTCAAGCCACCCCAGCTCTCCTTCCTCTCCTTCCTGTTCCCACAGTCCTGACCTAAGCCGCTTACTCATAAACTCCACAAAACCCATCTAGAGATGAACTCAAAATAGCTTCAGGAAGTCCCTGAAACTGACTGAATTCACTAGACCCACCCCTCCCCGCCAGAACAGACAATAAAAGCTGAGAGGGGAGAGAAGCGGAAGCTAAGTACCCAGGCTGCTGAAGAGGCTTAGACAAACTGAAGCACCCGCAAAGGACAGTCCAACCTGCTGAGCTGCCTGCAGCCTGTGCAGTGAACTCCGGGTTCCCAGCTTTCTGAGCCATCACCTGTGCTGAGGTGGGCTTCCAAGATGCAGCTTCTCTCCTGTAAGTAACTCCTCACCCATATTCTTTTAAGTGACACCAATAAAACTCATTGGTTTCCCCAAGCTGGACTTTGGAGGTGTCTGTACTTCGGTCTGTCGTGGGCTCCCCACCCATGGTGAACAAAGTCACAACACCCGGTGATCCGTGAAACCCACAGAAACTCAGTCAACGAGACTGAGGGCCTCCCCTTTCCACCCTCCCTCCGTCCTTCCCTCTCCTCTCACTCCCCCAAGACAAGACCCCTGTGCATGTGAACAAGCTCTGTACATCGCTGCAGCCCACTCTGGTGGCCGTGAATGTCTGAAGGGCTCAGGGCAGGTCCGTGTTAACTCAGTGCCTGGATCCTCTCTTCAAAGAGATCCCCACTCCTCACCAGCCATCCTCAGCACCCCAGGGTGCAAGAAGGTCTGAGGCTCTCTGGGATCTCCAGTCCCAGGACTCATCACCAGTGGGGCCTGTGACTTAGGACGTGAGCTCATCCTCTCTGCCCTGCGAGCCATGGGTGGTCTTGATTTTGGCCTCTCTCTCCTGCCTCACCTGCACACTCCCTTCCTGACCCAGCCTTCTAAGAATCGAGAGCCACAGGATAGACCAACAGTTGGAGTCGTCCCATAGCTCGGGCAGGAGGCTTGAGAGGCCCAGTGAGGAGGGGACCGCGTGGCTCTCTTCTCCAGCTGTACCTGAGCCCCACTCAGGCCGCCAGGGAGGGGACCCTGCGCCAGCCCTTACCAGAGAAGATCCTCCCGTCCCCGGTGAGCAGGGCAGCCCCGACAGGGAAGCGGCTGTAGGGGCAGTAAGCTGACTTCTTGGCCTCACGAGAGGACAGCAGCAGCCGCTGGACGTGGTCGGGCTCCACAGCACAAGAGGGGCGTTCCTGGGCCATGTCCGTCCAGGGAGGGTGAGCTCGCGGCTGCAGACTAGAGGAAGCCAATGCTGGCTGTGTGCCTGCGCTGGCCAGGAGAGGTGGCTCCTCCCCCTGGGTGTGTCCCTGCGCGAGGCCAGAGACCTGGAGGCTCCTAGGCTGGCGGGATGCTGACCAGGACTGGCCGCTCCAGCTCCCAGCCCTGGAGGCAGGAGGATGTGGCTTTAACGACTGAGCTGGGGAGTCGCAGGGTGGATGGGTGTGTGGTGTCCGCGAGTGAGTCAGTCTCCTTTAAAGACTTCATTCACTTTCAACTCAGATCAAGAGTGTGTCACAGGGCGGGCGGCACCACCTCAGTGGATGGCTGTAGACACACCGACCCAGAGAGGAGGATTCTGGGTGGTCAGTTGACATCTGAGGTCAAAACTCAAAGGGTCCAGAGCCCTCAGAACAGCTAATGACTTTTTTTTTTTTAAACCAAGAGAAGAGATGAGGCTGAAAGCTCAAGACAACCATGACAGTGTGCTACGTCAGAAGGTATGCAAAGCCTGGGAAAGGTCTCTATTTTCAGTGGCTGGCCCTCATTTCTTCCCTGTCCTAACCCAGCAATTAAAAGCATCTCAGCTGGAGGGAAGCAGGGCCTTCTGTCCTTCCTCTACACCTTCTTTGTTCCTGTTTTCTCTCACACGAAAATGTTAGCTGGCTCCTTGCCAAACGTTGGCAGCTTCCTCTGTCTACAGTCAGGATAGCAAGAGAAGCACGGGAGCTTCAAATTAGAGCCGGCTCTGGCCTGGACTCCAGGCGTCTGCTTATTAGCTCTCTCTATGACCCGGGGAGAGCTCCAAGCCTCGGTTTCTCTATCTACAAAATGGGTGCGCAGTCGGCGTTTCCTTTCCGTGGAGCTGATAACGCATTACAAGGAGCCTGACAGGGAGATCTAGAAGTAGCACGTGTGAAATGCTTTAAAGAAACTTGGTTATCGACGTGTAAGTGACTTGGTCAAGTCCATATAGAACGTACGTCCAAGTGTCTCCCGGAGGCCAGCAGGCGAGAGTGAATCCGCAGCTTCTCCGAGTAAGGAGGGCTTGTGTGGTGCTGAGGACTGGGAGAAAGAAGGAGACAGAGGAGAGCAGAGAATAGGGGCGGGAGTGGGCAGCACCTACGCCATCACACAGACACTCCTGCCCAAGAGCCTAGCAGCTATGCTTCCTAGACCCTGAGCTCCCTGCCGTACACAGATAAAACCCACACCCGGCAGGGCCCGTGCCCAGCCGATAGGGTGGGCCTCTTTTCCACCCCACGTTTCCTCCATTAGCTCCCCCCTCCCCCATATCCAGACTCAAGAGGCTCTTACTCCTCCAGCTGGCATTCTCCCTGGATGGGGACCTTCAGTGTGAGGACGGGTCAGCAGATCTGACTGATGCAAGACCCTCCCTGAAATGTTTAGGGGCCAGGCGTAATGACATCTGGGAGAAGGCTCATGGTGTCCTCCCCATGGCAGGCCTGGCACAGAATGCAAAGTGTAGTCATGTCTCTTCATTCCACCCTGGGAAGATAAGACAGGAAAGGGCCAGGCAAGAGGGCTCAGCTGGCAAAGCGTTTGCCCAGCAGGCTTGACAACCCGAGTTAGAGGACCAGAATGCAAAGGTCCCGGAAGAAAGAACTGACTCTTTGAAGCTGCCTGCTGACCCCCAAGTGCACCCCACAGTCACATGTCACAAACACACATTTGCTCATATGAACACACACACAGGGTCGGGGGAGAGGCAGAAAGAATTAGGAGAGAAGCCCATTGCTTACGAGGACCCAGAATTAAAAAAAAAAAAAAGAAAAAAGTATCCTTATTCTCTCTCTTTCTTTAATTTTTTTTTTTTTTTTCGAGACAGTGTCTCTGTGTATCCTTGGCTCTCCTGGATTCCCTTCATAGACCAGGCTGGCCTCACAGAGATCTGCCTACCTCTGCCTCCCTGAGTGCTGGGACTACAGGCATGTCCCACTGTGGCCTGGCTTTCTCTTTTAAAATTTTATGTCTTATTTTTATTGTGTGAACGCTTGCCCGCATGTGTGTCTATTTAACATGTGGGTGCCTGGTCCCTATGGAGATCAGAGGAAGCCATCAGATCCCCTGGAACAGGAGTTACAGGCAGCTGCAAAATGGTAAATGGAGCTTGGGAATCAAACCCAGATTCTCTGCAAGAGCAGCAAAAACAATGCAAAACACAGAAATCGGCTGCCTCCCAAGTGCTGGCATTAAAGGCAAGGGTGGAGAACTTTGACATAATAACAACAGAACCTCTGTGAAGCTTGCTGACTCACTTTCATTCATTCTCTCCTCTCTCAGACATCTCAAACCAAAGTGTCAAGAAATGAATCATGCTTAAGTCAGAACATGTCAACTCTGAATTAGCTGTACTCTCTTCTCGTCTCTGAAAATGTACTTTTTTTTTTTTTCAGGAACTTAACAAACTAATTTTTGAATCTTGTTTACAGTCAAAATTTCCTTGTGACCTGTGCATATCAAGAATTCCTAGCCGGGCGTGGTGGTGCACACCTTTGATCCCAGCACTTGGGAGGCAGAGGTAGGCAGATCTCTGTGAGCTCGAGGCCAGCTGGTCTACAAAGCAAGTCCAGGACAGCCAGGGCTACGTTACACAGAGAAATCCTGCCTCAAAAAACCAAAACAAACAACAACAAAAAAGAATTCCTCCAATGCTGGGTGCAGTGGGCATGACTTTGTTATCAGTATTTGGGAGGCAGAGGCAGGCAGATCTCTGTGAGATGAAGGCCAGCCTGGTCTACAGAATGAGTTCCAGCCTAAAAGGACCACATGGGAAAACCCTATCTCAAATAAATAGATAATAAATAAAAAGATTTCTTTGGCCTGTTTTTTTTTTAACCCACATTTTTTATCTAAGTTTTTAAAACCTGAGCAATACATTCCAGAAAGAACTTTATAATGTCATATACTAAAGCTCTTACGACAAAAATAAATACACCAAAATGTTTTTTCTTAAATTTTTTGAATGATGTAACTGTGTAGTCTCAAAAGCCAGAAAATATCTCACACACACACACACACACACACAGTGAGAGAGAGCAAGAGAGCTATTGTTTCTTGAGAAGCTCGGCTTGCACTCCCTCTTGAGTGTATACTATTATCCTTTTTTTAAAAAAAAATATTATTTTAATATGTTTTTGTGTAACGTGTGTATGTGTGAGTATGTTCATGTGAGTGCTAATGACAGCGGAGGCCAGCAGAGACCATTAGATTCCCTGAAGCTGACCTTACAGGAAGTTGTCAGACATCTGATTTGGGGGCGGAGAACTGAACTCAGGACCTCTGGAAGAGCAGCAAGGGCTGTGAGCCCCCAGCTGTCTCTCCAGCCATCTAAGCCAGCTCTCTAGCCCTGTCACCCTTAATTTCTTAAATCTCTATAACCCCTCTCCCCCTTTCCTGTCCCCCTCCCTCCCTCCCTCCCTCTCTCCCTTCTATATTAAACCTATATTTAAAAAAATCTTAAAAACAGCCTGTGGTGGTAGCACATGCTTTTAATCCCAGCACTCAGGAGGCAGAGGCAGGCCAATTTCTGTGAATTCAAGGCCAGCCTGGTCTACAGAGGGAGTTCCAGGACAGGCAGGACTACACAGAGAAACCCTGTGTCGAAAAAACAAAGCAAAGCAAAAACAAAACCAAAAACTTTTACAAACTTGTTACATACTTATTCATCCTGGTATAAATTAATTCTGACATAAATCAAGATCTTGCTGCCTCTGAGGAGAATTCTGAGGATAGATGCCTCAGAATCCATAGCTGGCAATACTGGACTGTGTCCCTCGCTGCTGCTGCCGACCCTAGCCCTCCCCAGGCCCAGCTCTGGCCTCCTGGATTCCATAGCATTAGGATTCCGGTGACCCCCCCAGGCTAGTTGTAGCCTTTGATCCCTTCAAAGCTCTGAATCAACGCTTGGTCACCCGTGGCGCCTTCGCTGGGTAGAGAGTGGGAACCTGTAATGACTCAGTGATCCCTTGTAGAAGGGATTGAGGTATCTGTTGAAGAGCGCACAAGTGTCCTTGACAACTTGCTTAGAGAGAAATTATGGATCAGTGACATTAACAAAATTTTCTAAACACACTCTTATTTCCACTTTATAGAAAATCAAGAAGAGTCGGTTGCCTGGCTGGAAGAATAGGGCTACCCTATTCTTTTATCCTTTTCTTCCTTCTCTCTTGGGGGTGTGTATGTGCACGTGTTGTGAGGCATTATCACACTTTCAGCGGGTCGTGGGCCACTGAGCAAAGCCCTTTGTCCATGTTTGCAGACCATCAGCAAACCTGATTGTCCCTGTTAGCTTTAGCTGTCAAGTTGATACAACCTAGAGTCACCTCACCGGAGAAGAGAATCTCAACTGAGGGAGTACGCAGATCAGATGGACACGTGAGCATGTCTGCGGGGGAGTGTATTGGAAGGTCCCGCTCACTGTGGGCAGCGCCATTCCCTAGGCCTGTGGTCTTGAGCTGCATAAGAAAGCTAGCTAAGCATGAGCCATGGGGGCAAGCCAGCAAGCACTGTTCGTACCTGGCTTCTGCTGTAAGCTTGTGCTTGAGTTCCTGCCCTGACTTTCCTCCGTGAGGACCTGTGACATGGAAGTGTAAGCCAAATCAACACTTTCCTACCCAAGCTGCCTTTGGTCAGCGTTTTGTCACAGAACAGAAAGAAAACCAGAACGCTGCTTTTGTTTGCCACTGGGGTCCCCAGAACTTCAGAGAATCTGACATAGTGGGTAGGCCAGGGAGTAGGCCTGTGGCTCAGACAATCACATAATTCTTCTGTTTCTGGTGCACTGCTGCTGTGCACCAAGGCAAGTGAGTTCTGTGTCCTTTTTGTTCCCCTGACAGCTAGGATGACACGGTGTCCCTGCTGATGAGATCCACTGGGCTGATATTCTGCTCGGAGAGGCTTACTACATCTTTTGTTTTGGTTCTTTCAGGGGTGAGCCCCTGGTGGGCTGCCAATCATTGTCAGCAGGTACCGGCAGCAGGAGCCAACCAGAAACCTCCTCCTTCTGCTGAGTGGGTGGGAATTTTTTTTCCCATTGTGGTTGTTAAGCTGGGAGGCAGCTACTGCCAATAGATG